CTCCCTTCAATCCATTGGTATTAATAAAATTCTGCTTGCGGCTTGAGGCTTCAGTGTTGTTTAAACACATCGCTCTAGTGTCAGGAACACCGGTTTTGAAAGGATGGGTTTTGTTCTGTTTTTTTAATTTGAATGAAACCTTGCTATACAATGAACTAATTGCAGTGCATTGCGCTGTTACCAGGAGGAGGCTGGAACTTCAGCACATCACACGTGGAGCCCAGTGGCTATTTGTTCTATTTGTTCATTGCAAGGTCACCTTGGCAGGCACACAGACAATGGAAGACTCTGTTTATTTTTTTAAAATAAACCTATACTGGGAAGTAGAGCAATTACCCCACTGTGCAGATGCTTCTGCCCATCAGCTAAGGGCTGTGCCAACCACACAGCTCTCAAAATGCTCCAGGCAGGCTGGTGGTCAGCTCACCCTTGGAGATCTGGTTTGCCTGATGTACTCCATCAAAGATTCTCTCCCAGCCTACAGAAACCACGTGTTCAATGCAGCAAGAAGGCTTTAAGATACACAGGAGTTTCCTCTGCCTTCTCTGAACAATGAAAAGGAAACCAAGGATTTGCTAAGCAATGCAAGACCTTAACTGAGTACTCCAGAAATCAATAAATAACATGGCACAAAACAAAACTAGACTTGATCTCATTACAATAAAAATGTCACTGATTATACTGATGTGTTTTCATATAAACGTAGTTATGGATTTGATGAAAACATCAATGTATTTCTGACTGATATTTACCTTCAGTACATTTTCTAATTCCAGAAAAAAACACCTTATTTACCATTAACTTGGGTTATTCAAGAAGTATTGACACGCAAAAGTTCAATGCACCCAACTATTTTTAAGCAATTCTTCACATAGAAAAATGACAAGATTTATAATTTACCCCTTACATGAAATATACCAAGTACAATAAAATTAACAGAGAATGTAAATAACGGGATGTTTGGTAAAATCAATGGAACTGCAAAGACTTGTTTTGCTACAAGTGAAGTCCATTCAGTATAGTCACAAATAAAAAACGCAATGTACTGAATTTTTCAGCTTCCCAGATTTTTACCTATTTCAGTCTTCTTATATCTGTCTTTTCTAATTGTAAATTCTTCAACAGCAATCAAGATCTATCCCCTATATAACATTTTATACAACAAAAGAAAGCACCATGCTTTCAAACAGGGATTTACAGGAAGCTCTGTTTCACAGAGATTTGCCAAGTTATTTGAGCTCTGAAATTTAGCACATGAGCCAGTTTATCCACCCTTGACTGCTATTGGTATTTCCAGTCAGAACTGAAACAGCAGCACAGCTGCCAGTTTAGACAGCCTGAAATTTCTGGGAAGCCACTGCCAGCCCTGAGGAGGCTGTCACCCACCATCCTCATCCATAACTGCGGGAGCTCTGAGCTCCAGCGCTGACAGGCATCAGCTCTGATGCAGCAGCTCTCTGCCAACAGATCCATCTTCGGGTCACTTTATCATGGTTAAATCTGAGAGAGCTGTGCCTCTCCAGGTGTGACAGGACCCGCTTCACCCCCGTGCCCCCTGTGACAGCCCTGCTGTCACAATGAACGCCCTGGGCCGGGAGTCACCGCCCCAGCTGCACTGCCAGCCTGGCCCTGCGGGCTGACCCCTTCCCTGGGACAGCCCTGCTGCCCCCGAGGCGCGGCCCCAATGAACGCCCTGGGCCGGGAGTCACCGCCCCAGCTGCACTGCAGCCTGACCCCTTCCCTGGGACAGCCCTGCTGCCCCCGAGGCGCGGCCCCAATGAACGCCCTGGGCAGGAGCCACTGCCCCAGCTGCACTGCAGCCTGACCCCTTCCCTGGGACAGCTCTGCTGCCCAGCACCTTCCCAGCCCTGCACTCGCTGCTCTGGGCCTTATTCTGTGCATTCTGTGTTTAATAAGCTGTGAGTGTGAGAAAATCCCACACAGTCTCACTCTACCATCCTTCCTAGCAGAACAAACCCAATCCACTGAACCACAGCTCTCTCCCTCATCACAGCACCTACCCCACTCCCCAGACCTAAAACCAGCTGCTCATACACCAGATTTGGTATATGTGACCATAAATGACAAATCCTGGTATTAAGATTTATGTCTGGGATGATGCAAAACGATCCATTTTGATCCTTCATACAATGTGGATTATTAGTTTTTAAAACCAAGTGGCTCCACTAGAGACACCTCATTATCACACTGGTTTATCATTTCTCATGTGGAATTTGCACCTGTGCTGCTGTCAGCTGGAGACAGAGGCTGCTGACAGCGCTGTCTCAGATCTTGCTGCCAGTGCTATCACAGCCAAGCTGAGTAACTGTGGGCAGCAAAATCTGGTTTAGTTCTGCAGGAGCCAAGCCAAGGAAAACCTTACAGAGGAAGTGATGCCAAAAAAGGGGATGTGAGAGCAGCAGGGATAAAGGTTAGCCAAACTGTAACTGCTTGGGCTTCTCCCTTTCTAAAGCAAATAGCATTATACAGTAATATATGATAAACATTTCTATTTCAGAGAGGTCATAATATAACGCCACAGCCACCATCTGCTGCCAAGTCTGTGCCTTAGAAGGGATGGAAAAAAGCTCACAGAAGTTACAGAACTTTGCAATCAAATAGAACTAACAAGAAACACGGAGACACGTGACATCGTACAAGGCAAACCACACTGGAGATAAGAGCAAAACTTTACCCTAAATGGACAGAGCACATGTGAAACCCCTGCTCGCACAGTCACACACACACACACACCGAGCAGAGGAGCTGGAGGTCTGCCAGTTCAAACCAAGTGTGAAAAACCATTTCTGTGAATCTCTGATTCCTGACACCAGGGCCGGGGTCTGTGAATGCACACTGGGAGCATCCAGGGCCAAAAAACAGACTCTAACAAGTCAGAAGGTTACGGAGCTCAACGTGAAAGTGCACCCTCTCTCCTTTCTAGGTTTTTGGGCTCTGGTTCCAAGGCACTACTACTACAGTCTAACAATGAAGGTATAAAACACTCCTCTAGCACGCAGCATTTCCTCCCAGTGATAGCAACACAAAACATCATTGAATAATTGCTCTTCCTTTGGGTTCTGCCTTTTCCACACTAAGCAGATTCAGCTCTAAAAGGTTCTTAAAGTTACAAACAGCCTATCATGTGGAGTACACATCAAACACTTCCATAAACCCATTTTGTATCTTTACAGTCACCACTTCAATAGAGGGTAATTTAACCAAATAGTAAGAACATGTTTTTGGTTACACAATTTCCATGGAAAACAACATTGATACTAGCTGTCTTTTTTTTCTTTTCCCCTTTATTGAATCAATATGTTGACAGAACTTTTTTTCCCCCCAGAAGGCCCAGCTTTAGTAAATGAAGGATTAGGAAAAAAAATTCAAAGTAACAATTATGAAAAGAAAAGGAGAAATACAAAGGTGGTTGGGGAATACTGCAAGAAACACAGCGCCTAGAAAATAATGCTGGTATGTGAAACAAGAAACCACATTAGCTCTTGAACTGGGGACATGACAAAATACAGGATTCTTCACAGAGACACAAACAGCACATGCTCTGACTGGGATTTCTTTCAACCTCTCTAAGAGCCTTTTTATCCACCATAGGAATGCCATCAAATCCAATCCATGTACCTCATGCTAAATAAAATAATTTCAATACTATGAGGTATGTGACTACTCTTAAACACAAAAAAGTTGTATGTTGTTACGGATTGCATTAGTCTTCTATGCTGTTTTCCAAATTAAGATCACAGTTAATTATCCCTTTTTCCTGTATCACAGAAAAGTCTTGGCTGGAAGGGAGCTCTGGAGCTCACCTGGCTGAAGGCAGATGAGGTAAATGCAGAGCCCCTTGCAGCTGCCCTGCCCACATTAGGAGATCTGTGCTGCAGGAGCCCCACAGGGTCCCCACCAGTGTGTGGGATCACCTGGATGCAGCTCACACCTGTGAGCGACTCCAAAACATGCAGCTCTGTCCCACTGCTTGTACCTACCAGCACTTTCTGAATATCTGCAGAGTACGGTTTCAACATTAGTGACCCACTAATGGTTTGTCCCTCTAAGTCTCAGTAAAGCTGATAGTCTTGTTTTTATCTTCTCCAATGAGCAAGAGAAAAAATCCTGCTGATTCCTCTCCTCCAGTTTCATCTTAGCTGGGCTTCTAGCCAGAGTTATTAAAAAAAATTAAGAAATAAAAACCTTTCCAGGTTCTTATTCCCTGAGCTTATATGCCTCCAAGCTGGGGTTTGTGTGTGTGCTGGGCAGCTGTTTTTTACTGTCTGGATGGTCCCAGGTGCTGTCCTTGGCTGCTGGGCAGCACCAGCTGTGCAGCCCCCCTGCCTCTCAGCACATCCTGGGGCACAAGGAAGCTTCTGCCCTGGCAAGAAGGGACACGTCCAAGGGGTTGTTTTCTCCTGTGCAACCCAGCAGCGATCACTTGGACACACGGCAGACGTGCTGGCACAACGCACAGCACTGGCAACAAGCACAAAGCCCTTCCCCGCACACCTCCCTTCACATGGACCTGAACACCACTGTGTGCTAATGCAAGCTTGTGCTCTGGCTGCTGCCACCGTGCCTCAGGCCAGGGAGGCTGTGAGTCAGCTCTGCAGGTCCCTACACAAGCCTGAACCCTGGCCAAGCTCATCACCAGCTCAGCACACTCAGCCTGGCGCCGCCTCACGCTGCCAGGCTCTGAAATGGAAGGTGATTCTGAGCCACCAAAGTTAGTGTTGGAAAAAAGACCTCAGAAAACCTTTTTGAACAAAAGACACTGCACACTGATATTCTGCTCATTTCACATGGATGTACCTCTGTGAAATCAGCAGGTACACATGCCACGGAATAAACACTCTTAGTAGTAAAACACAGTAGTAGTAAAAACATAATCATCATCAGGATGAAAACAGCTCACAGTCCCACATGGGTCAAAAATCCCAAACAGAAAAAATTCACCTTTGGTTAAACTACACTCAAGAAATAAAGAAATTTACCGTGAAATGTTCCTGCGATTTATAGTTCTCATCCAGGTAAACTCGAGCTCTGTTGTAGTCTTTCATTGCATCACTTGATAACAGTTCTCTGAAAGAGAAAGAAAAGACTGAACATGTAAAGGCAGTTACAAATGTACTGCCTTGCCTCAGCACTGCTCTGTGCTGTGACATCCCCAGCATCACCCAAAGGAACCCAGGGCCTCCCTTGTCCTCTGGGGGGAATTTCAGGGACACAGCTGTCCCCAACAGCTGCCCGCACGCTCCAGATCTGCCTCAGCAGCTGCACCTTCAGCGTGGATCGTGAGCTTCCCAGTGCCATTTGGACACGACTGGCAAGGGCGCGGGTCTGCGGTGCCGACAACACTCGGGAATTTGGGGGATTTGTGCTGCCCGAGCGCGGCCCCGAGCGCGGCCCCGAGCGCGGCCCCGAGCGCGGCCCCGAGCGCGCAGCTCCCGCCGCCGCCAGCAGAGGGCGCGCGCGGCCGCGGCTCGGGGCGCTGCCCGCGCTCCCTCCCAGCCCGATCAATTAAACCGGGATCAATTAAACCGGGATAAATAATCCCGGCACGTTCCACCGCTGACTGACCGCTCCTGCCCTTGTCGCCGGCTCGGGGGGCCAGGATATAGCCCCCGCCACTTACTTCACGAACTTGTCCACATGAGACATTGAAGCTTCATAGTTTTTCCCTCCGAATTCTTGACAGTGTAAAGCCATGAAATGGGGTTTGTGTGCATGGACAACCTGGAACAGAGAGAAAAGCGAGTTTTAACGCTCAGCACACAGCGAGAACGACACGGACCTGGGTGCTCAGGGAGGACTGGCAGCTACCACCTGAGAGGTCATTGGCACAGCAATCTGCAAGGGGAGCAACATCTGCTATCCACATAAAAGATGCATAATACACAATTATGATCTCAAATATTCTTAAGTAATATTTCTTTTTTAAAACTATGATTTAATTCCTGGGCTGTATATATATTTAAAATATATTGTAGTATTTATATTTAAAATGTAAATATATTTTTCCAACTCCCCTCAAAGATGACTTGACATGATTAAGACGAGCCAAACCTTCCCTTGTCTGGGAGGTACAAGAGTTCAAACAATTCATTTGCTAGAGTGGATTTTTTTCAACTTTTATAAAACTTCTCAGTGCTGCTTAGCAGCACTTATGCAGTTGTGTTTGATATTTTTATTTATGGAATATCTTATTTACCAAAGTATTTAAATAACAGATGCACATACACACCTATTAACACCGGAGATATGGAAACTCATCATGCTATTCCAGGTGTTAGTGTTGAACACTGCAAGTATCTTAGATGCTACATAGTCAGCACTAGGATGCAATTACCATACCAAAACCCTAGAATGTCTGTCTTTCCTCATACCTCAAATCAAACACAGTTTATAAATTTGCTGCTGTTTTGAACACGCATTCAGTGTTACTCTGTCCTAAGGAATTTTCTCTGCTTTGCCTCTATTCAGAACTGCAAACAGCACATCCAAAATGTCTCTGTTAATACTGAGTCTCTATACCTTGTATTCCATGTCTTATTGTGAATTAATGGACACAAGCTCCAGAACAACTTCCATTTTAAAAGGGAGCAGTCCAAAGCAATCGACAAGGTGCCCGTGCAAGCGTACACGGAGCCAAGTGTTAAACCCAAATGGGATTCACTCGTTTCTCATGGGTGGCACGGGGCTGCCCCGGCCAGAGAGGCCCCGCTGCCCATGCAGCCTCGGCAGGAAGGGTGGGGGCTGCTGGCAGCCCCTGCAGCACCACCAGCAGCACAAACCAGCTCCTGGGCAGGGCGCGGGGTGCCCTGCCCGCGGGGTGCTCTGCCCGCAAGGTGCCCTGCCCGCGGGGTGCTCTGCCCGCAAGGTGCCCTGCCCTCGGGGTGCTCTGCTCACAGGGTGCCCTCCTCACAGGGTGCCCTGCTCACAGAGTGCTCTGCTCACAGGGTGCTCTGCCCGCGGGGTGCTCTGCCCGCAAGGTGCCCTGCCCTCGGGATGCCCTGCTCACAGGGTGCCCTGCTCACAGGGTGCTCTGCTCACAGGGTGCCCTGCTCACAGAGTGCTCTGCTCACAGGGTGCTCTGCCCGCGGGGCGCTCTTTAGGAATCATGGAATCACAGAATGGTTTGAGTTGAAAGGGACCTTAAAGCTTATCTCATTTCACCCCCCTGGCAGGGAAACCTTCCACTGGAGCAGGCTGCTCCACGCCCTGCCCAACCTGGCCGTGAACGCTTCCAGGGACGGGACACCACAAAATTGTGGATGTGTCTTTTAAACAACAGTAGAGAGAAACTGCCATTTGATGTGATGACAGAATGCAAAATCCTTCATTCCTGACTGCACAAATAACGTCATTAGACAACTCAGCTCAAAGACAATGAATTAAAGATCATCAAAATCTGAACTGCAGCAGGTTCCATTGAGCCAGAGGCAGTCACAGGTCCCTGCTTTGAAGCGGCACCTTCGTGTGACAGCAGCAGAGATGCCCAGCTCGGGGACAGCAGCAGGGAGGGCCCACGGGCACCCGCAGGTGCCAGTGCCAGACCCTGCCCCGGCTCCTCAGGGCACAGCACTAGACCCTGCCCCAGCTCCACCAGAGCCTGCCCCGGCTCCTCAGGGCACAGCAGGGACAGCGCCAGCGGGGCTCAGCAGCGCTGGCAGCACGTCCCTCCCTGCTCAGGGACACTCGTGGCACACTGCTCTCCCTCCGTCAGTGCCCAGCACAGCCCCTGCCAGCGGCTCCAGCTGCAGAGGGCACTGGCACTCCAGCCTGGCAGCGGCTCGGGCACGCCACAGCCCAGGAGAAGCCGGTGTGCTGCCACATCCAGGTCACACAGCAAGCTGCAGACAGCACTGCCAGCCCTCACCGGGTCACCCTGCGGAGAGAAGGGAACGCCTGAGTCACCTCCAACAGCCACCTCCTCTGTGCCGCAGCCTCCTGGCCACTGAAACACCTTGGCACTGACCTGCCTGCACAAGCATTCTGAGGTGAGCTGCTGCTGCTGCAGCGTTACTGGATAAAGGGAAAAAGTAAATACTCCCACTCAGGTGTTTGATGGTCATTGAGCACTTCCATTTGATTATTAATGCTGGTTTCTGCCAACAGGGATATCAGCAAATTGCTTTAAAGCATGCCACCGTCGGTAGGGATGGAGAATGACCCAGAGCAGGACCCAATATCAAGTTTAATTGATAAAAAAAAAAAGAAGCAGGTAACAGACCAGATGTCTAAAACCATATCTAAAATGCAAGAAATTATACTGAACTGGGACGTGTTTTTCCTCTGATATATATTTCCTACCATAGACTTACAAACAACTAAGACACAGTTGCTGAGAAGATGTCCCTGTACAGACGTTCCCCGCTCCCCAAGGCGCTGCCCAAGGCACCACTGGCAGCAGGCTGCCATCAGAGCCAGCAGCAGCAAATGACAGCCAACACTAAGTTTACCTGGCTGGTTCATTTTATTGGCTGTCTGGAGAGCAATACTCACCAAGCACAGCCCGTGAAGCAGAGCTCTGGAACAGAGCTCATCTGCGGACCCTAACATCAGGCCATCCCAATGCTCCATGTGCTTTATTGCTCCCAGTCAGCTCTGGATTCCTGACCTTATCTACTTGGAGAGCCCTATGAAGACACCATGATCAGAAAGCAGTGTAACTATTTGATCCTGTAAAGCCAACACACTCCCTGTCACTGTTTCAGGGAGCACATGCAGCAGGAACCTGCTGAGCATCGGGTCACTCATTTTAACTGTTGAGAGTTTGCTTCCATAAGAGCTCTTCTTACACAGCCCATGAAAATATAAACTGGTAAGACGAAAACATAATAAACTATTTGAAATAAGATTTAGGAACCATCAGTCACAGGGAGCCCTGAATGGGGAGTCCTGCAGTGAGACAACACAGGAGAACAACTCTGTTGTGCTGAAGCAGCAACAGAAAACACTTCCAGGCTCTCAAGATGCAGGACACAGGCTTTTTTTGTTTGTATACAAATCCTTGAGAACTTGAAATCACAGTGGGTATTTAAAAAAAAAAAAAAAGAGAATTATGTCATTTTTGATGGGGAAACAGCATTGGCTTAATAGCAGTGAGGTCCTTGTGGCACTCCTTGCAGGTTAAACCACTAGAACATACCTGAATATTAGTTATGTCCTCTCATATAATAAGTACCCTCCAACTAAAAGCAAACTGGCTCTGCTTCATTACCTTTTACTAGTTTTCTACTCTTATGGAAGAACAAACAGTACATAATAATGAGTAATGAATACTTCGGAGCTGAAAACTCCCAGTTGCCAGAGGTTAAAGATCATACATGAGACCACATAAATAATGAATTTGCATCCACGGCAGCACAGTGTGTTTACAAAGTTGGGCATTATTTTCAATTCGGGATATGCAAAAATAGCGTAAAGGAAGCCACAAGCAGGAGGTATTTTGGGGGATGTGGGTAAGTAGGCAAGATGCTCCAGCACAGCTGAGTACGAACACAGAACTGGTGAAATGCCAAGCCTGACATGTTATCACTGCTGCAGGTGTGTGCCTGTTTGGGCGGGGATGGTGATGGGGATGGGGACGGGGATGGGGACGGGGACGGGGATGGGGACGGGGATGGGGACGGGGACGGGGACGGGGACGGGGATGGGGATGGGGACGGGGTTGGGAACGGGGATGGGATGGGGATGGGGATGGGGATGGGGATGGGGATGGGGATGGGGACGGGGATGGGGATGGGAACGGGGATGGGAACGGGGATGGGGATGGGATGGGGATGGGAACGGGGATGGGGATGGGGATGGGGATGGGATGGGGACGGGGATGGGATGGGATGGGGATGGGGATGGGAACGGGGATGGGAACGGGGATGGGGATGGGATGGGATGGGGATGGGATGGGATGGGATGGGATGGGATGGGATGGGGACGGGGTTGGGGATGGGGACGGGGATGGGGATGGGGACAGGGATGGGGATGGGATGGGGATGGGGATGGGGATGGGGATGGGGATGGGAACGGGGATGGGGATGGGGACGGGGATGGGGATGGGGACGGGGATGGGGATGGGATGGGGATGGGGATGGGGATGGGGATGGGGATGGGGATGGGAACGGGGATGGGGATGGGATGGGGATGGGATGGGATGGGGATGGGGATGGGGACGGGGTTGGGGACGGGGACGGGGATGGGGACGGGGATGGGGACGGGGATGGGAACGGGGGTGGGATGGGATGGGGATGGGGATGGGGATGGGAACGGGGATGGGAACGGGGATGGGGATGGGATGGGGATGAGATGGGATGGGGATGGGATGGGGATGGGGATGGGGATGGGATGGGGATGGGATGGGGATGGGGATGGGGACGGGGTTGGGAACGGGGATGGGATGGGATGGGGATGGGAACGGGGATGGGGATGGGATGGGGATGAGATGGGATGGGGATGGGATGGGGATGGGGATGGGGATGGGATGGGGATGGGATGGGGATGGGGATGGGGACGGGGTTGGGAACGGGGATGGGATGGGATGGGGATGGGGATGGGGATGGGGATGGGGATGGGGACGGGGTTGGGAACGTGGATGGGATGGGATGGGGATGGGGATGGGATGGGATGGGGACGGGGTTGGGAACGGGGATGGGATGGGATGGGGATGGGGATGGGATGGGATGGGATGGGATGGGATGGGGACGGGGATGGGATGGGGATGGGGATGGGATGGGATGGGGATGGGATGGGATGGGGACGGGGTTGGGAACGGGGATGGGATGGGATGGGGATGGGGATGGGATGGGATGGGATGGGATGGGATGGGGATGGGGATGGGATGGGGATGGGGATGGGGATGGGATGGGATGGGATGGGATGGGATGGGATGGGATGGGGACGGGGATGGGGACGGGGATGGGATGGGGACGGGGGCCAGGTGGAACGGGGGCAGCAGCCAGGACAGACACAGCCCCACGCTGCTGGCCAGGCCCCTCCGAGAGGGGCACAGGGACAAGGGCACCAGGGTCAGACCTCAACCCCAGCAGAGCAGAAGGGGAGCTCCAGCCCTGACTGTGCCAAATAGGATTGCTTAGAACAGACGGCAAACTACGAGCTGTGAAATACAATTTAGCACGTGTGATCCTAAAGCACTTCAAGTATGTTCCATTTCCCTGAGCCTGAGTAGAGGCTCCTGCTGGGGACAGGCACCCAGAGCCCGCAGCACTCAGCTGCACACAGCCTGCATCCCCAGCCTGCATCCCCCACCCTGTACAGCCCCTGCACTCCAACCAACACCCAACAGCCCCAACAGCCCCACCTGAGCAAAGCACCCTCTGGAAAAGGGCCGGGACCTCAGCTTGGAGGAGCTGCAACACAGCTTTGCCACCCTCTCTACTTAAAAAAAACTCTTAATCATCCCCCGTAGTTTAAAAAACAGCATTTAGGGCCACTAGAATAATTAAACAACCTTTGAGTGGCTGGGTGGTGTTTTGTTGTGATTTGGGGTTTGTAATATTTTTGTTTGGTTGGTTTGGGCCTTTTTTGTTTGTTTTTCTTCCTTCTCTCTGAAGGGTAACACACGAAGTTCCCATGCAGCTATACCAAGATGACCTTTAGCTATTAGGTAAACTTTTAACTTCTGTATTACTACAAATAAAAGCTCAAAATACTCTCAAACACATCAGGCAACATGGAAAATGGCATTAAGGGAAAAAACCCTCTGGCTCCAAGCTTGCATCTAAAATAACCATGTGCCACAAATGTGACACAAAAAGACAGTTACTAAAATCAGTGCAGATTTTCACTAGCTCCAGCTCCCGAACTCCTCCTGCCCCAAACACGAGGCCCCGTGCAGATGGAGAAAGGGCAATGGATGGGGAAGGGGGGAGTGAAAAGGAAAGAGTCCTAAGTAAAAAACAAGTCAATAAAAGTTCTCCCTCTGTGCTCCTACACCTTTGCTTGCCAGCAGCTTCATTCATGCTCTAGGAGCTGTTCCCCTGTCTTTTTCCCGTGCACTCACTGACACGCAGGCTGCCAACCAGGGCACGGGCACTTTGCACAAGTGGGACAAACTCCCCTGTGCACATTCTCATTTGCACAGCAGTGAGCTCACCAAATCACCCCACTGCTTGTTAAGCGCTGCCATCTCACCCATCAGTCATCCCATTTCTTGGTAAGAACTGAAGTCTTCCCTGTCACACATTAAACACTCCAAAACGCTGCTCTCAGGCTGTTTCCACTCTCTCCCAACAACCCCTTTCCCTCCTTGTTTCCAGTGCAGGTTTTTGGGGTAAGAGAATTTTTACTGGAAAGAGGACTAGTCCAAATTCAGCCCTTTCAGACCTAATTACCAGTACCTATCTGCAGTAAGGAGATGGGGCACAATCCCCAGCACCAGGACTTCACTGGATTCTGCCTCACTCTAAGGCGGCTTTTCTACCCTTTGATGCAATTCCCAATGATCAGGGCCACAGTGCGACAAACTTGCTAACAAGCCTTTTTTCTTTTGTTTTGATTCCAGAGGATTGTCTTCAACTGCAAATACAGTTTTCTGCTTTGAACATTAAAAACCAGAGGAAACTTCACCAATCCCACTAACCATCCCACTGGCTGTCCCTACTGACCATCCCAGAAAATGCATATGGCATATAAGCCAATGGTAACACATAAGTGACTTGTATTCACCCATGACAGTGAATAAAATCCCTTACTTTAATTTACTGGAATTCATAAACAAGTCCACAAAATGCTCTTTAACCAATATGCTCTTTGACATCAGTTCAAAGACATTACAGGTTTAATTTCTAGAAACATTTTGAACTCAGAGATGTAATGGTTCTTCCTTTTCTGTGAACATTTTGACTGCTTACACAAGGACCTCATCCTCAGAAGTTATGCAAACCTCCCTGACACAACTGCATATGCAAATTGAATTCCTCAGAAGAATGGAAAAACTGCCGTCTGCGGTTTATCTGGTTTCAAGTTTACAAAGAGGCACGAAGAGTCATTTTCCAGTGCTGCTGCTGAACCTCAGTTCACGGAGGTTTCGCACAGAGCGTGTGGAATTAAACACAATAATCCCCCTGAGGCTGCACATTGGCTGGGTCGCTCTGAAGCCAGAGCCAGAATGGTGCTGAGTGACTTTGGGAAGGTACACGTTTGTCTCTTCCCTAAGGAGCTTTTTGTCAGGGTTTGTGGCGTGAGCAGCCAGCCCGCTGCCGAGACCCAGAGGGGAAGCAGGACAAGGCCAGCAGCAGCCATGGGCAGCACTGTAACTCTGCCTATTCTTTCTTTCTTTTTCTTTTTAAAAATACAGTTCTCACACTGCAGGGACAGAGGGCAGAGGTACGAGAGGGAACAGAACAGGACCCCCCAGCTGAGGATGGGCTCGAGTCTGCCTCGGCAACACTGTCCCTGGTCTGGACCCCGCAGCAGACTGGCGTCCTGGAGCACTCATGGGTAACTGTATTCCTCTTTGAGTTCTGTACACGCAATATTTACCGGGCCACAGACAGACCGCGCTCAGTCACGCGTCAGCGGTCCCTGCCCTGAGGTACCAGCAGCTCCTTCTCCTCCCCGCCCCTTCCTGTTTGCCACAAACTGTTCACAAGTGTTTCTGCAGCGCTCATCCCACTGCAGAAACACACCAACACACAAGGAGTTTCCTTGATAAAGATACGTCAATCAGTCATGTGGTGATGGAAAGTATGCGGCCATCAAAAAAAACCCAACCAAAACTAAAGAGTTCTCCGTGTTTATTTGTATTTCCTGCACAGGAAGAGTTTTTCCTGAAGCTGCGCAGGGTTGGAATCAGAGCTAGCTGAGACACTGGTGCAGTGCAAGCACCATGTACATACAGCAGCGACCAACCAAGGCGGAAGAAGAAAAATAAAGAGATGAATCTGAAGTTGGCAGATCCTAAAGAACGTAAGAGTGGTTACTTCACATTGGATTTTTGCAAATCTCTTACATTTGCCAGTAAAAGTGAATTGCAGTATTTTACATCAACGTAATAAAGGTCACAGGCTGCACTGGCAACCCGAGAATGTAGAGACTTGTGGGATGCTTTCAATTACAAAAGGAAAAGATGAAATTCTGCTAATCATATTTTCTGCACGCAGTTTCACTTTACCATTTGAACAGCACCATTCTGTTAACTATTTTTCTGTAAGAGAAGTAGGACTGGATAAAGGAACGCCGTGGCCCTTCAGTACCAGGTGGCACTGTTCCATGGCCGGGTCAGGCAGGGCTCGGAGCAGAGTGTTTCAGTGAGAAGTGTCCCTGCCCCTGGCACAGGACATCCAGGTGCCTTTCAGGTGCCCTGGGGCCCTCCCAGTGCCACCCTCCGTGGGACTGCAGCGTGCCCCGGTTCTGCCAGCAGGGACAGCAGGGCTCAGCTGCTGCTGCTGCCCAGGGTGCCACCTCCCTGCCCCAGCAGCGCTCATTCCTGCTGCTCGTCACCACATTTCTGCACACACGCTGCAAGTCAGGTCTCTACTGCAACAACACAGTGTGTGAGGGGGGCTTCTGCACTTTAAAAACCCTCTCACACAAGAAGGCAACAGCACATTTTATAATATGGGTTCTATGTCAATACTTCCACATTACCAAACAAGAAAATTGTTAAGAAAGAGCAGACAAAACTTGTCATATTTCCATTTTAGGGTAAACTAGACTTCCCAACAGATTTTTTTTTAAGTACTCAAATATATATCTTATTCAATAGACTTAAAAGACCATTTCATGCCAAACTGAAGTCAATTTTATAAAACCTGAATCTATTTTTTAGCCAGAGAATTGTTGATAAGAACAAATTGTGCTTATATGCTGAATTTTTATAATGATTACTTAGAAATGCAGGAAGACATATTTTCAGGGCCGTCTTTTACTATAAAATAAAATCACAATAAAATAGTACTTTCACTTCACAGAGCAAAAGATCCTGACATTACTAATTAGGTCAATAAACAAAGATGCACAAAACTCCATGAGAAAAAAAACTTTACCTTACCTGATAAAATTCCCGAAGCCAATTCTTCTGTAAATTTTCTGGCTGGAAAACAAAAGGCAAAAATTAATTACAAGTAAGAGAAATCTATTTTTACAACAATATCGTGCTATTATTGCTTTCCTCAGTGCGTTCAAGAAGGGAGCTTTTCTCACAATTAAAGCAAAAAGTACAAACACGAGGATGTTCCTCCACGATGCCACTGGACAGGCCTCAGCCCATCGTGCCCAAGCCCCCCTGATTGTCACCAAAAAGGTGCATTTTGTGTGTGAGCGCACAGCATCGGTACCCACACGTCTGTCAGGCAAGGGCACACTGAACCGCGTGCTGTTAGAAGGGCTATTATCACCTGTGGGGCAGAAACTGCACCAGCTGCCCACACCCAGCCGCTGCCACCTGAGCTCCCAGCGGCCAGAGCTGCTGCACACAGCTGGTTCAGAGGAATGACAGTGCCTTTGGGGATGCTCCATCCCACCACACCTCCTGCCGAGGACAAACCGCGAGAAGCATTTCCAGATTGCTCCAGAAATTACACAAACTGATGCAGCAAAACTGCAGTGAAGTGCTAATTCTGTGTTTTCAGGAACAGATCCCAGCCCCAGAGGGCTGAGAAGGGACAGCTGATTTGTTGAGCGTTATCTTCAACAACGAGACTTCTGGATAATTTTTACATCCTAAAGGGGAATAACAATACAAATCAGAGTTCCTTGTCACAGCAGCGGCAGGAACGCCCAGAATCGGTGGGAGGCAGCAGAACATTCCAGACTGGAAACAGAGAGGCAGCTCGTCCCTGCCAAAGAGCTCGGGCACCAACTGCCCAGAGGCGAACACTGGCACCAGCCTTCTGCTCTGCTCTGCTCTCCCACCAAGCATGCTGCTTTCAAAGGGCTGGACACAACTTCACAACAAAACTGAACTTCTTGTAACCAGCCCCAAGAAAGAGGGTGCTGAGAGGGTCTCTGCGGCTGCCAGCACGGACTCCTGTGCCCAGCCCGTGCCAGCCCTGTCTCTGGCTCACCCTGGCTGTGTGCCCAGCCCGTGCCAGCCCCGTCTCTGGCCCATGGCTCACCCTGGCTGTGTGCCCAGCCCGTGCCAGCCCTGTCTCTGGCCCATGGCTCACCCTGACTGTGCCCAGCCCGTGCCAGCCCTGTCTCTGGCCCATGGCTCACCCTGACTGTGCCCAGCCCGTGCCAGCCCTGTCTCTGGCCCATGGCTCACCCTGATTGTGCCCAGCCCGTGCCAGCGCTGTCTCTGGCTCACCCTGGCTGTGTGCCCAGCCCGTGCCAGCCCTGTCTCTGGCTCACCCTGGCTGTGTGCCCAGCCCGTGCCAGCCCCATCTCTGGCCCATGGCTCGGGCTGCACAGGAAGGGCCCTGTTGGCTCCCACTGCTGTGCCCTCCTCCAGCAGTCCCTCCTCTGGCACCACCACATCTTTTCTTTCCACTTTCACCACTCTGTGCTACAATTCTGTAAGCTAGCCCTCACCTCGGACTCCTCTCCAGGCACCTCACATAAATGAAACAATTTGAACTTTTGAAGGACTGGAGATAACAATCAAGTAGAAAGATAATTTATCTTCCTCTTATTTTTCTGTCTAAAAATAGGCACATTATATTTCATGTCTTCCACAGACTTTGGACTTCTTCCTATCCCTTCTCTCTGCACTCTGTCCTTCATTAAATTATCTCATGCTTTTGGTAACATAATGGAAATTAATCTTTTCCCTGTCCTCTCTGATGCTAAATCCTTTCATACCCATTCACCGATGCAATTTCTCCCGGGTCACTAATCCACACGCCATTTTATCAGTCTGTTCTGGCCGCTGGCAGTGGGAAGCACTTCCTGTGCCCTGTCCCCAGTCCCCTCCAGCCCTCCTGCCGCCCAAGCAGCCGCAGGCCTCTGCTCCAGGTGTCCTGCCAAGCGCCCAGGGCTCTGCTCCAGGTGTCCCTGCCGCCCAAGCAGCCGCAGGCCTCTGCTCCAGGTGTCCTGCCAAGCGCCCAGGGCCCTCCTCTCCCTCCATCCTCCCTTGCCCTCGCAGCTCAGGCTCCAGGGCTGCTGCCCAGGGGCACAGGGCTGGCCAGCACGGATTGCTCACTGACCCGCAGGCTGCACCTCAAACACACCCGACTGTGCAGGCAGAGCTCAGCAAACGCCCCTGTGCCTGCAGGAGCACGGCCCTGCTCCCATCCCTCCCTTCAGGCACACATTCTGACTGCACCGGCCCTGCTCCCATCCCACCCTTTGGGCACACATTCTGACTGCACCGGCCCTGCTCCCATCCCTCCCTTCAGGCACACACTCTGACCCCACCGGCCCTGCTCCCATCCCACCCTTCAGGCACACATTCTGACTGCACCGGCCCTGCTCCCATCCCACCCTTCGGGCACACATTCTGACCCCACCGGCCCTGCTCCCATCCCTCCCTTCGGGCACACACTCTGACCCCACCGGCCCTGCTCCCATCCCACCCTTCAGGCACACATTCTGACTGCACCGGCCCTGCTCCCATCCCTCCCTTCAGGCACACATTCTGACCCCACCGGCCCTGCTCCCATCCCTCCCTTCAGGCACACATTCTGACTGCACCGGCCCTGCTCCCATCCCTCCCTTCAGGCACACAGTCTGACCCCACCGGCCCTGCTCCCATCCCTCCCTTCAGGCACACATTCTGACCCCACCGGCCCTGCTCCCATCCCTCCCTTCAGGCACACATTCTGACCCCACCGGCCCTGCTCCCATCCCTCCCTTCAGGCACACATTCTGACTGCACCGGCCCTGCTCCCATCCCTCCCTTCAGGCACACAGTCTGACCCCACCGGCCCTGCTCCCATCCCTCCCTTCAGGCACACACTCTGACCCCACCGGCCCTGCTCCCATCCCACCCTTCAGGCACACATTCTGACTGCACCGGCCCTGCTCCCATCCCTCCCTTCAGGCACACATTCTGACCCCACCGGCCCTGCTCCCATCCCTCCCTTCGGGCACACATTCTGACCCCACCGGCCCTGCTCCCACCCCTCCCTTCAGGCACACACTCTGACCCCACCGGCCCTGCTCCCATCCCACCCTTCAGGCACACATTCTGACCCCACCGGCCCTGCTCCCATCCCTCCCTTCAGGCACACATTCTGACCCCACCGGCCCTGCTCCCATCCCACCCTTCGGGCACACAGTCTGACTGCACCGGCCCTGCTCCCATCCCACCCTTCAGGCACACACTCTGACCCCACCGGCCCTGCTCCCATCCCTCCCTTCAGGCACACAGTCTGACCCCACCGAGCCGCAAATAGAAACCCTTCCCCTCGAACAAGCACAACTTCCAGACAGCAACACCACATGGGATCCGTATTAAAAACCGGGACATGCGTCTCGCGTGCACCGCTCCCCTCAATTAAAAGCAGTTTTGACCTTTTCCTGGAATTCCAAATCCCACTCAAACTACCTCTTTTCATGACGAGTTTCCACTTGAAGTCTATTTATGTCACGCTGGTCACTGTAATGGTCAGGTTTATAAGAAAACACAGTCAGCTTGTGAACACATGAACACCACATGAGCTGCTAACAGCCCAAAAACAAGCGGCTTTTCAAATCGAACGTACAAGTAGTCTCTCTTCTCCCCAGTACTTCTATTTCCTACAAATTTACACTCAACAGCCAACAGGAAAGCTTTAAGCCTATTGCAAAAATATACTCAGATGGGGAAGGAGTCTTTCCAAAAAAATGAAAAAGAATATATATTTAGGCAGGGTAAGGAGCCTTTCATTCAAAAGGAAAAAGGGAAAAGGACTAAATGAAACCAAATTAACAGCTTGGAAAATTTCTTTTCAGCTTTGTACAGAGGGAAATGGAAGAAAGCCAATGAATTATAGAAAGCAGGTTCTATTTTGTGAAGTTTATTTTTAGCAAAGAATAGGCTCATATTTTAAGCTAAAAGGAAAAAAAATCTTGACTGGCTTTGTGAAAACTGGGTTCCAAAATGAATCAGAGGACAACTGGACTCTGCACACTGCCTGAACACACACGGCACGAGCAGCCCCGATTTTTACATGCCTGACTGAAGCAGCCCCAAGAGCCCCAGACGGGCTGAGGGATCACTGTCAGAGTGATCCCTGTCCGAGTTCCAGCAGTCCCTGGCATCCCCCAGCACCACAGGGCCCTGCTGCAGGCACAGACTCCTGGGCTGCGGTCCCAGCAGCACCCAGAGCCTTTTCATCTTATACTGCAAGGCACATAAAGAAAAATATAAAATACAGACTATTTTTCCCCACCTTTACTGTAATTGGTTTTCTACTTCTTTAATGAAAAGCAAAGCCTTTGATCAAGTTCTGTTTCATCAGCAATAGGCTTACTCAAAAACATCTTTAGAGTCCGCCAACATGGCTGACCATCACAGTTGTTTCAACAGAATTATTTAGACTGTGAAATTTTGATCAATATTTTTGATCTCTTATATTGCCTTTGTAAATTTACTGACACGCTTTCGACATTTATATTCAAAGATCCATTGGATTTAAATATTTTTTTTTTTACTTCAAATAGACTTGTAAGCACTGCTGTTGCTATGCTCTCTTGAATCACACAGATGATACTGGCAAAAGCCCCCCATCAGCTGGGTACTATTAATGTGGTGTTTTGTACCCACTTTACACTCTTAAATGACAAACAAAAAGATTATAATCTGCATGTTCTGTTCACATCATGAGTTCACAACATTTCAAAGCCCATGTAGGCAAACCTACCAGGACCAACAGGAAAACCAGAATTACGAGTTTAAGAAAAAACATTGAAAGAAAAATGCAGATTTTTTAAAATCCAAACTTTTACTTAAACACTGTGTTTTTATTCCATGCATTTGCACAAACAACTCACAAACACTACTGTGGTGTCCCTTTCATTTCTGAAAGCCTGCAACTTTCCCAAGGAGCAGCAGAAAAAGAACAGTCCCATCCCGGTGCTGTTACAGCCCAATGACAGTGACCAGGATCAAGGAACAGGTATGGGGGAGAAAACACAGCACAGCCTAATTAACACAGGCTGAAAACCAGG